CTCAATCTGTCTCTTTCTCTCTGTCTCTCAAATAAGTAAAACACACATACAAATTGCAAAATGTGAGAATGAAAAATATATTTCTATAGTAAAACTTAATATTATACATGTTGATTACATATTTATTTTAATATAACAGCCAGAAACCAAGGACTGAATTACTTTTTAAAGTTCTCAAGAAAAGATTACATCTTATTTATCTCCATATCCTTACAACCTACATTACCAATGCCTGGTATGTAGTAGGTACACACAAATGTATTTTAAATTAAATAATTTATAATTACTTTTTCAAGGCATTATTATGTCACCATATTGTGAATAAATGGTCATACAAAGAAGTCTTAAACTGAAGGAATTAGAAAGCATACACCAAGGTGAGTTTTAGTACAATAGGTAAATAATCCAGGGATGGTTATTAAATTTAATTGTTTTTATCTGATTCTGTGCCTCAGCTTCTTAGTCTGAAGAATGAAAGAGTGGTAATAAATTCTAAAATTATTTAATACTGTTAAATTTGTCTATGACTATACGAGGAGTATATCATGAACTCTTCTTTATCTTACACATAGAAAAATTTTATTGACTCATGAACACCATTATATCCAAATATGTGAGATTTTGTAACTTTAGTTACAATATAATAGTTGTTAGTCTTAGTTATTAAACATTAGGAAAGACATACAGATAAAAATACTGTATTATTTATAATTCAATTATAATGAAAGGATCCATTTCAATACTTTATGTGCTCCTGCTTTAATTTTCCTATGTTTAATTATTAATCTTTCCATTTCTTCATTGACCTAAATGAGTCATTCATCCCATACAAGACATTTGGCTGCCCTTGGTGTTTAGACTCACTTGGATTTTAGTTTGATTTTTAACTAACAACTTATCAAGTATCTTTGTAAGGCTTTAAAATAACTAAAATGATTCCAAATATTTTAAATCAAAATATATTTCATAAAACAAGGAATAAAATAAAGAAAAATATTTCATGGCAAGGAAAAAATAATCTGTATATCAGACTTTGAGATCTGGAATCAGATCATAAACATTTAAAATTAAATATAGATTTGTATATGACCCACATTTTATGCTTATAATGGTAATCTGAAACGATTATGCTTTTTGAACCTAAAACAAAAGGGAAAGGTGCTTTTTAGCAAAGAATGGACTGATACAGAGACCACAAACATTAATGTCATTTTCTAAACTTTCTAAAAAGGAGGTGTTATGCTTTAATATTTACTAATTAACATATTTGGATACATAAGTAAACATTTTACAATCACATAATATTCATATGACTTCATCTTAAAAATGTACAACTGTCTATGTAAAATATTTTTAAAAGCAAACAAAAATATGAAATAGTACTAATCACAACATAAAGTACAATTTTTAAAGTCATAAAGAATACCCCAAGGTCCTTAGTAAAGTAGAATCCATTTCAGAACAGAGACCAATTACTACATTTTAAGTATTTTTTATAAAGATCTTAGAAAATCAATTAAAATTCTAAGCTACTGTGAGTACTGTAAAATAAATTGATATTACTATGAGGCTAAAGTGACTAGAAGACCTTATTACTACAATTTGTCTTTGGACCAGCCTTACTCTTGACCTACTGAATCAACTGTATTTGTTTAATAAGATACTCAGGTGATGCACATAAGTATTAAAATTTAAAGAATCATTGCCCTAGGGCCTAACTTTCATTACTACTTCAGAAATATTTTGCATTTATTTGTGCTAGGAATAACAGAGATATCTGAACCAAGATTTAGTAAATTCAGTTTGCTACTGAAAAAACTATTTCTCTTTATGTATTTACATATGTAAATACCCAACAAAATTTCCCATCTATTTAGGTAGATAATTGATACATATAAATCAAATAATTTAAAAATAAATTCCTTTTTCTCTAACTTTAAATGACAGGATAATCCAAATTATGCATTTGAGAAACCAAGAAAATATTACATTAATAATTTAAAATTTTAAATAATCTTTTTGAAATTTTTATTTATTTATTTTTATTTGACAGGCAGAGTTAGACAGTGAGAGAGAGAAAGAGAAAGGCCTTCCTTCCATTAGTTCACCCCCCCAAATGGCCACTACGGCCAGTGCACTGTGCCAATCTGAAGCCAGGAGCCAGGTGCTTCTCCTGGTCTCCCACGCGGGTGCAGGGCCCAAGCACTTGGGCCATCCTCCACTGCCTTCCCGGGCCACAGCAGAGAGCTGGACAGAAAGAGGAGCAACCAGGACTAGAACCAGGCGCCCATATGGGATGCTGGCGCTGCAGGCGGAAGATTAACCAAGTGAGCCACAGCGCCGGCCCTTAATTTTAATTTTTTTATACTTTTATTTAATAAATACAAATTTCCAAAGTACAACTTTTGGATTATATCAGCGTTTCCCCCCAAAACCTCCCTCCCACCCACAACCATCCCATCTCCCACTCCCTCTCCTATTCCATTCTTCATTAAGATTCATTTTTAATTATCTTTATATACAGAAGATCAATTTAGCACATATTAAGTAAAGATTTCAACAGTTTGCACCCACACAGAAACACAAAGTGTAAAGTACTGTTTGAGTACTAGTTATAGCATTAACTTACATTATACAACATAAAGGACAGAGATCCTACATGGGGAGCAAGTTTATAGTAACTCCTGTTGTTGATTTAACAATTGACACTCTTATTTATGACCTCAGTAATCATCTGAGGCTCTTGTCATGAGCTGCCAAGGCTATGGAAGTCTTTTGAGTTCACAAACTCCAACCTTATTTAGACAAGGCCATAATCAAAGTGGAAGTTCTCTCCTCCCTTCAGAGAAAGGTACCTCCTTCTTTGATGACCCGTTCTTTCCACTGGGACTCCCTCACAGAGATCTTTCATTTAGGTCACTTTTTTGCTACAGTGTCTTGGCTTTCCATGCGTAAGAAACTCTCATGGGCTTTTTAACCAGATCAGAGTGCCTAAGGGCTGATTCTGAGGCCAGAGTGCTGTTTAGGACATCTGCCATTCTATGAGTCTGCTGTGTATCCCACTTCCCATGTTGGATCGTTCTCTCCTTTTTTATTCTATCAGTTATTATTAGCAGACACTGGTCTTGTTTATGTGATCCCTTTGACACTTAATCCTATCTTTATGATCAATTATGAACTTAAACTGAAAAATGATCACATTTTAAAGAATGCTCTCTTACTTTGGTAACTTTCAAATGATTCAGTCAGCAACTTCTCATCCTAAACTACTTATATCAATATTCTGATAACCTCTAAATTCTCATTTTCCCACAGGATTCACTTTTATTAAAAGAGCTGAAGCCCTGTACCAAATACACACAGAAACACCTGGAAATTCTGAGCTTTTTAAACACTACAAGCATAGCTTTCATTCATGTTTTAAACATAGGAATAGAAAAGATAACACCTGAAAAACAGATGGTGAGGCCAGTGTTGTGGCATAGCAGGTAAAGCTGCCACCTGCAGTGCCAACCTCCCATATGGGCACTGGTTCAATTCCTGGCTGCTCCACTTCCAGTCCAGCTCCCTGCTAATGTTACTGGAAAGCAGTGTAAGATGGCCCAAGTCCTTGGGCCCCTGCAATCACATGGGAGATCTGGAAGCTCCAGGCTTCTGGCTTCAGATTGGCTCAGCTCTAGCCATTGGGGCCATTTGGGGAGTGAATCAGCAGATGGAAGACCTCTCTCTATGCTTCTACTTCTCAAATAAATAAAATATTTTAAAAAAGATGGTTTTTGATATTTTCTAATTTGTCAATTTGCTATCTAGGCCTTTCAAAATTAATCTAATATAAAGTAATACATCTTCTCTTGTAATGTTGTGGATGATGGGATAGGTTCCTGCACATTCTAGGACAATTTCATGGAAAATATTAAAAACATACGTTTCCTGGGGCCAGCGCTGTGGCATGGTAGGTTAAACGCCACTTGCAGTGCCAGCATCCTATATGGGCTGCAGGTCAAGTCCCTACTGCTCCACTTCAATCCAGCACTGTGCTAGTGGCCTGGGAAAGCAGCAGAGGATGGCCCATGTCCTTGGTCCCTGCACCCATGAGGAAGACCCTGAAGAAGCTTCTGGCTCCTGGCTTCCAATCGGCCCAGCTCTGGCCATTGCAGAAGTGAACCATTGGATGGAAGATCTTGCTCTCTGTCTCTCCTTCTCTCTGTCTGTAATTCTGTCTCTCAAATAAATAAATCTTTTTTTTTTAAATGTACTTTTCCTAAAGCAGAGAACAAACTCAGTGCCATTATTTAAACATCATTCAAGCTTCCATGATAAACTTAGAATAGTTTTCAAACAGTTTACTCCAAATATTTACTTACTTACTTATATACTTTTTTAAATTTCAGGGTTTAGGTTGAATAACTCTAAAACAGACAGAAATATCTTTTTTAAAAAAATATTTATTTATTTATTTATTTGAAAGGCAGTGTTACTGAGAGGCAGAGGCAGAGGCAGAGGAAGAGACAGAGGCAGAGGCAGAGGGAAAGAGAGGTCTTCCATCTACTGGTTGCTCCCCAAATGGCAGCAATGATCAGAGCTGGGCAGATCCAAAGCCAGGAGCCAGGAGCTTCCTTGGGGTCTCCCTCGTGGATGCAGGGGCCCAATCACTTGGGTCATCTTCTACTGCTTTTTCAGGCCATAGCAGAGAGCTGGATTGGTAGTGGAGCAGCCGGCACTTGAACCGGTGCCTATAAGGGATGTAGGTGCTATAGGCGGTGGCTTTAGGTGCTATGCCACAGCGCCGGTACTGAGAAAATATTAACTTTAATAACATTTACCTGAATGATCTTCTGCTTTTTGGATGCATCAATAAGTTATTTTAATAAAATATGTGAATATTTAAATTAGACTTACTTGAAGATGAAAGATTTAAAATGTCTATTAGATAGCCTAAGGGCAATTCAATCATACAGAGTATCAAAATTTTCAATAAAAATAATCATATAATCATCATATAAATAATATTTACCATTTATTTATGTAAAGTTTTCTCCTATGTTTATATTACACAAAATGAGTTTATCTTATAAAAGGTAACATTATATTGTGAGGATTTTTAGAAAAAAATCTTTTTTCAACAGAAGACATTACCTACTAAAAATTACATGCTGTAAGGAGAATCTGGAGTCTTAAACAACTTAGTTTGAACATATCCTCTCAAAGTCTAGTTTTTCATACTGGGGAAAATAGACACAAGCTATCAAATACTGACAAAAAAATGGATGCCATGATGGATGGTGAGAAAGGAGGTAGAGAAGGAGAAAAGACATCCAAGACTTAAATTTTTTTCATTCAACTTTATCCACAGTTTGCATCGGTAATATACATTTAGTGTTCCATTTATTTTTAAATGCATCAGAAAATCAATTGATAGATCTGTGACCAATACAAACATTTCTGAATTCTTCAAAAAATTCATTTAGAAAAGTCATTAAACTAGCATTCTATAAAGATAGTTATTAAACAAACAGTAATGCATTTTTACTCATTTCAATTCTAACATATCCAACATCACTTCTTTCTTGTGCCATACAGTGGTAAAATTTAACAGAAATAGTTATCTTGAATTTTTAGGGCCTGATAAAATATTTTAGCTTGATTATTTACCTCTCATCAAATCACAAACCCATTTGAATAATGATAATTCTTAATCCAATAACTGATGAAGTAAATATATAATAACCATAAAACATTTAGAATAAATGTCACACTTAACTACTAAAAGAAGTACATCAGAGCCTTGGTGCAATATTGTCCTCGGAGACTATACCATGAAACTGCTTTAGAGGTGGCGTTGCCTTTTGGCACAATAGTATTGATGAACTGCTATGGTATCCACCTCAAATGGACCCGTGTTACATGGAATTTTGCTCTTGCAGTGAAGAATGGCATAGTGTGGTTCTAGTGTATTTTCTCTATAAAGAATAATTAACTCACAAGTGAAATGAGTAAGAAGATGACCTATAATTTTACTACTATTTCAATGATATGAAACAGGAAAATACTTATAAAAGAATTAACAGATTAATAAGGAATTCTATAACATGATAACTGAAAGAAGTATGAATGCTGCAGTTTTACTGGTCACTTAATTTGTAAGTCAAATTTTTATATTAAAAAGTCATCAACTAAGGTATTTAACATTTCTTACCCTTATTATCCAAGTTTTCATTAGGGAGATTGACTATGTTACTGAGATATATGTGTGTGTGTGTGCGCTTAGGTCCAACTGAAAAATAATAACTAATTAGCTCAAATATTTAAAGTAATAAATTACTAATAATTTAATTTTTTAACTTTATGGTAATAAGAAGCTTTAATTCTTTACAAGCTCCAATTTTACTTTTGGGGAATGTAAAGAACACATCTGTGTTCCAAAGCCAAAATATAATTATATGGCTTCATGGCAATTCATCAAAAAATGTAGAGTTGTCCCTAAAGCAACCCTTACTATACCATTTGGCACACTAATTCTACCTTTTATGTATACCCTTTGAAATACCAAGGCCAACATTTTTAGTAAGTTGCATCCATATTAAGAGGTAACAAGTGCAAATGATCACATATTTAAGATATGATACTTGCCTGGCTACTATAAAAGTAATTATTAAGGTTCTCCTATAGGAACTGAGTTATTCATTACAGTAATGGTTTTGAAAAATTCCTGCACAATTACCAACATATATTTATCCATCTCTAAATTAAACAAGGACTTTATGTAACAAAGTATATTATGAAAAATATTTATGGAATGGTCTGTGTTTACTTCAACACCAAGTTAATTGAGAATCATAAGGTGTATAGGATCCACAAATGGCCAGATTTCAAATAAAAAATCTATTCTCATTTGCTACTTTCTGAATATAGCTAAAGGCAGGACTGACATAATGTTTCTAAAAATCAATATATAAACCCAAACTTTGGCAGTTGTATCAAAATGTCCTTGATAATCAGTACTTCACTAGTTCTCAAAAATGTTACTGTTTTGTGTAACATTTTCATTACAGAAATAAAATACTCTTCAAATAATACATTTTAAAAGATGATTAAGTTTTGCAAAATTAAATAGCATAAATTAAGCATATTAACATTGCTTTTTTGACAACATGAAATAACCAATTTAAGGAAAACTGCAATGGACTAACTAAAAATCACAAGTGTCCAATTGTGATGGATAGTTAAATCCTCACATATTATTGACCTTACAAAATCTACTAAAATATTTTAAAGTTCCATTGAGTCTATTAATACATAAAAAGAAAATTGCAAAATTGCTTAAGACTATATAAGAGTCATCAATTACACAGGCACTTCACATGTAAACAATCTACAATACAACTTAAAATATTTTGGCACCAACCTATAATACTAAAAGAATTTAATATAAAGCCAGAGTTCTGTTTTTTCTACTACTTTTTTTCTAGAAAACTAAGACCAAAGTTTGAAGAAATTGTGTATAAACCAGAATAGAAGCATATTAAATAACTCAAATATAGAACAGTTTTAAGTTGCTTAAAAAAAAAAGGTTTCCTTTATCCAGATGTTTGCTACTATGCTTTGATGTAAAAAAAACTAAACCTAATGTGGTTATTAAATTGAAAATACATTTAAGTTTAGTATCAATTGGCATTCTGAAAAAAGCTAAAGGTTATCAACTGACTTAGTAAAAAGAGAATTTGAATTTATCAAAAACTCTTATTAAATTAATCCAGTTTTCTCCCGAAAGAAATTTGGGCAACTCAAAGTTCAAATTTGATGTTTTAATATATATTTTTTTAAAACCCTAAGGCTCTACCTAAGGCAAACTATTTTTGATGTGAGGTGACACTCTTATTTATAAATTTGAGAAATCTGAAATTACTTCAAATAAATTAAACTAACATTAAAATTGTAAAATGTTGTATCAAGCCATAGAAAGCTGGGATGCCTTGATTGTAGGTAATTCAAGGAGTGCCTGAACAGTGACACCAACTTTCACAAGACCTCGTTCTTCCAAAATATGATGAGGCAAACACAGTCTTTCCTGAGGGGGAGGAAAAAGGATATTTGAGCACTTATTTTTTTAGTAGTATAATAAAACTTCAGTCAGAAACAAATTTTTAAAGCACATTTTCTGTAAAATTTCAAGTAAAAATACACAATTCTAAGGTTTCAATTATTAACTTATACTAAGAAAGGGTAGCGTTGGCCTTGTCTGAAATCTGTCATTCAACACTTAAACATCTTTCTCCATATAGAAAACGTTCTTAAAAGAATAGGTCAGGCCGGTGCCGTGGCTCACTAGGCTAATCCTCCGCCTTGCGGCGCCCGCACACCGGGTTCTAGTCCCGGTCGGGGCGCCGGATTCTGTCCCAGTTGCCCCTCTTCCAAGCCAGCTCTGCTGTGGCCAGGGAGTGCAGTGGAGGATGGCCCAAGTCCTTGGGCCCTGCACCCCATGGGAGACCAGGAGAAGCACCTGGCTCCTGCCATCAGATCAGCGCACAACGCGCTGGCCGCGCCGGCCGTTGGAGGGTGAACCAACGGCAAAGGAAGACCTTTCTCTCTGTCTCTCTCTCTCTCACTATCCACTCTGCCTGTCAAAAAAAAAAAAAAAATAGGTCACCCCTTCTGCCTTTCCCACTGATATCTTTTTTAAAGATTTATTTATTTATTTAAAAGTCAGAGTTACAAAGAGAGAGGGAGAAGCAGAGAGATCTTCCATTCGTTGGTTCATTACCCAATGGTTGCAATGACCAGGACTGGGCCAGGCAGAAGCTCGGAGCCAGGAGCTTCATCTGGGTCTCCTACATGGTAGGCAGAGGTCAAGCACTTGGGCCATCATCTGCCGCTTTTCCCAGACCATTAGCAGGGAAAGTGCAGCAGCCAGGACTTGGACCTGAACCAGTGCCCATATGAGATGCCCCTGTTGCAGGCAGTGGCTTAACTCACTGTGCCACAGCACCGGCCCCAATCACTGCTATCTTATACTTATCCTTGAAGAATCTGCTAAAATTACTTCAATGACAATCATCAATACTTTCTTAAATGCCAAATTGTACACATTTCCACTTGACTACCATATCACAGCATGCCATTACTTACCACATTTCTTCAGACCTTATGCCTCCCTTGTCTTCTGGGGCATCAATACTTTTACTTCTTCAGTTTTCCTGATAGCAACTGTGCATTAGCTTTTGTTAACCTTCACTGATCTAATATCCTAAAAGTTTCTAAGATTTCACTTAGACTTTTCACCCTTTTCTCTTTTTATATGATATCCTCTGCTTGGTATTTTCATCCATTCCCATAGTTTTAAATATCCTTCCATATGGATAAAGATTTCTAAGTCTTTATTTCCTCCCAAGATGTGTGTATTAAGCCCCAGATACAAATGTCAACTGATACAGTCAAACAGATGTCAAAAAGACACTTCAAAAATCAATGTGTCCAGAGCAGGAATATCTCTTCATTAAATAAACTCGTCCAGATTCTGTATTCTATATTTCATTTAGTAATACACTATTCACTCTCCATTGGCATAAATCTGGGAATCACAACAGTTTTGTCATTCTTTCTTACTTCCATAATGAAGTCACAAATAGTACTAATGATATCCAATAGTTATCAAAAAACATCTCATCACCAATTTCACTGCTACATTTGCTACCTTTCTGATACTCTGTTTATTCAAATAACCACTGAATTTACATTAGAAATGAAGAATGATTTCAAATCAATGATTTCTGCCTCCACCTTGGAAACCAGAAAAAGAGTAAATTAGAGGTGAGTGTTTGGTGCAGCAAAGATGCCACTTGGGATACCTGCACCTCATCAGGGTGCCCAGGTTCAAGTTCTAAATCTGTTTCCAACTCCAGCTTCCTGCTAATGCACACCCTGGGATATAGCAGGTGGTGGTTCAAGTACTTGAGGCCCTGCCACACAGACAGGAAACACAGATGGAGTTCTTGGCTCCTGGCTTCGGCATGGCCCAACCCTGGCTATTGCAGGCATCTGGGGAGTAAATTATACAATGGAAAAACACACACTCTCCCTTTGTGTGTATATGTGTGTGTGTGTGTCTTCCAAATAAAAAAAATTTAAGTAAAAAGAAGAGTAATTCAACTGATGGAAAAATGGGAATAATGAAAATGAGAGGAAAACAATAAATAGCAGAAAACAAAACAAAATTCAGTGGTAAAATTTTAAAAAATTCATACACCAATAGCTAGGTTAAACAGGAAAAAGGAGACTGCACAAATTACCAGTATCAGGAATCAGAGAAGTGACATCAGAAGATATTCTATAATTAATAAAAATGGTAACCAGGAGACATTAAAAATAACTATGAAAATTAAGCCTGGCAGATAGAATAGACTAATTCTTTCAAAGACACAACATACCAAAACTCATATAAGAAGAAATAGATAACAAGAATAACCATATATTTATTAAATAAATTGAAATGGTAGTTCAAAACCTTTCCACAAAAAAAAATTCCTGGCTCAGATGGATCACTAAAGAATTTGACTAAATATTTAAAAAACAAACAATATTGAATTTGAGACAGGAACTTCAAGGAAAGTAAAGGAGAAAATACTTCTTGACATTTCATTAGGTTGGCATTACCTTGATACCAACAGGCAAAGAAATTAAAAAAGAAAAATATCTCCATGAACACAGATGCAAAAAGTCTACACAAAAGTTTAACAAATTTTGGGATGGACAGAAGGTGCAGTGGTTAGGATCCCACAGGGATTTATACCACATCAGAGTATCTGGGCTGGAGTCCTAGTTCTGCTTCCAATTCCAGTTTGCTGGTGATGCACACCCTGGCAGGCAAGAGATTAGATAACTCAAAGAATTGGGTTCCTGTTACCCAGGGTCCCGGCTTGAGCCTGGCCTAGTCCCAGCTATTATGGACATTTTCAGAGTGAACTAGTGGCTGGTAGATGTCTGTCTGTCTCTTTTAGTCTCTATGTCTTCCAAATATAAATAAATATCTAAAAAATAATTTAACAAACTGAATCCAACAACATATAACAATCACAGTAACAACAAAATCCACCATAACCAAGTGGCCCAGCAATCTAGTGTTAACATCTAAAAATCAGTGTTATTTGTAACTCAATAATTAAAACTAAAAGCACCAAATCACCTCAATAGATGTAGAGAAAAATATTTTGTGAAATCCAAAATCCATTCCTGATAAGAAACTTCAGCAAACTAGTAACAGAAAGGAACTTCTTCAACCCGATTCAAGTCAACTATGAAAAATCCTCAGCTAACATCATCTTTATGAGTGAAGTTCCTCAAAAGAATCAACAACAAGATAGTGACCTCTACTCTTAATACTTTTATTCAACAATGTACTAGAAGATATGGGAAGAACAATTGTGAAATTTACATGGAAGTGCAATGGACCCAGATTAGCCAAAACAGCTTTAAAAAAAACAAATTTAGAGGGCTAGCATTACTTGATTTCAAATCTGTAGTATAGTAAGCAAGATAGAATATTATCCAAAGTGCACTCTCTCGCTCTCTCCATCACTCTGCCTTTCAAATAAATAATTAAAGAAAGAAAAAAACAGATTTAGTATAATAATAAATGATGAAATAGTAAATGGTTTCCCTAAGATCAAGGACAAGATATCAATTGTTATCATCACTAGTCAATATCATACCAGAGATTTTAACCAGGATTAGGCAAGAAGAAATGAAATGCATTCAAATTGAGAAGAAAGACATAAAATTACTTCTATTTGCAGGTTACATGATTTTGTATGGAGAAAGTCATAAAGAAAACACAGTAGAATTTTAAGTACAAATAAATGAATTCAACAAGATTTCTGAATACAAGATCAGTAAAAGAAAATGACTTCTATCTCTACACAGTAGCAATTAAGGAAATAATTTTATTCAAAGTAGCAAAAAAAGATAAAACACTAAGGGATTAATTTAACAAAATAAGTAAAAGCTTATATATTGAAAATTACAAAATGCTAAAATAGATTTAAGCAGATATAATTAAATGGAATGGCATCTCATTTATGGATCAAAAGACTAAGTATTGTGAAGATGACAATATTCCCCAAATTGTTCTATAGATTCAATGCAATCCCTAAATGCAATCCCTAACAAAATCTCAGCTGGATGTTTTTCAGAAATTGGCAAACTAATTCCAAAAATGATATGGAAATGCAAGAAGGCATCCAGTAAAATGAAAACAACCTTGAAACAGAACAAAGATGGAGCACGCACACTTAAAAATTTCAAAACATATCACAGAGACATAGTAGTCGGATAGCGTTATACTGGCATAAGGAATTAAATGGGAAAGAACTGAGTGTCCAGAAATAAAGCCTTACATTCTCATTTAATTTATATTCAACAGGACTGTCAATATAATTCATTGGTGAAAAGAAGAGTCTTAGCAACAAATTGTGCTGGGGAAACTGGACATCCAAATGCAAAAGAATAAATACGGAAACCTGCCTCATATCATACACAAAACTGAAGTTAAAAAAAAGAACATTTGAACCATATGACTTTTAAAAAATATATAGATGTAAATCTCCATGATCTTAGACTAGGCAATGTTTTCTTTGATATAATATCAAAATCATAAGCAACAGAAGAAAAAGGGATAAATTAAACTTCACCAAATTAAAAACTTCTATGGTGCAAATGGTAAATCAAAAAAATGAAAAGGCAAGACACAGAATGGGAGAAAAACATCTGAAAATCATATACCTCATAAGCAACATGTACCTGGAATGTAAAAAGATCCCCTAGAACTCAGTAACAAAAGGATAAATAAACCAATTAATAAATGGACACAGGATTTGAGTAGAAACTTCTCCAAGGACTGTGTGTGTGTGTGTATGTGTGTGTGTGATACAAACATGCGAAGGTGCTAAACATCACTTACTATTAGGGAAACAGAAATAAAAATCACATTGAGACATCATTTTTCACCTGACAGGTTGGCTATAATCAAAGAGATAGACAGTAATCACTGTTAGTGGGAGGTTAAAATGGTAATGCCATTTTAAAAACGCTTAGCTATTCATCAAAAAGATAAAAATAGAATTACTATAAGACCTAGCAATTCTACTCCTAGGTATATAACCAAGAGAACTGAAAAGTGTTTAGATAAAAACCTATTCAAGAATGTATATCACAGTATTATTCATAATAAGCAATACACATGCTAAATGACTATTAACTGATGAATGTAAAGAAAATATGGTTTATAAACAGAATGGAATACTATCCAACAATAAAAAGAAATGAAGTTCTGATTTATGCTACAACATAGATGAATCTTGAAAACATTACACAAAGTTACATAAGTCAGACACAAAAGAGCTATATTGTATGATTTCATTAGTCCAGAATAAGAAAATCCATAGAGACAGAATATGGGAAAGATTGCTAATAGGTTAAAGTTTTTTTTTTTTAGAGTGACAAAAATACCCTAAACTTAGATTATTCTTAACTGTTGCCCAACTCTGTGACTACAATAAAGATCATTTAATTGCATACTATATCAGTGAATGTGATGGTATGATAATTATGTCTCAATAAATGTTTATCATATCAATGCATATATCCAATTATAGGCTTTAAATAGGAGAATTTCAATTCTTTAACTCAAAATGGATCATAGAACTAAATGTAAAAGCTAAGATTTTAAATGTTCTAGAAGTAAACATGGAAAAAAATCTTTGTGACTTTGGGTATATAAAGATATTTTAGGTCTGACATGAAAAGTAAATCCATTTTAAAAACTGATAAACTGTACAACAAAAACTTTAAAACTCCTACTCTGTGAAAAGAGAATGAAAAGCCATCCAAAAACTGGGATGAAATATTTTCAAATCACAGATCTGAAAAAGGATTTTATCGACAGCTCCTAACAGCCTGGTACTTGAACAAGAATAGACATGTGGACCAATGGAACAAATTAGAGACCCCAGACACTAACCCACACATCTAGAACCAGCTAATTTTGGACAAAGGAGCTAAAATCACTCAAAGGATAGTCTCTTCAACAAATGATGTTGGAAAAATCGGATCTCTGTGTGCGAAAAGTATGAAGCAAGACCCCTACTTTAAACCCTATACAAAAACCAACTCATAATGGATCAGAAATCTAAAATTAAGACCCAAAGCAATTAAATTACTAGAGGAACACATAGGGGAAGCACTGAAAGACATTGGTATGGGCAAGGACTTCTTGGATAACATCCCAGAATCACAGGAAATAAAAGCAAAAATAGAGAAATGGGATTACATCAAGCTAAGAAGCTTCTGCACAGCAAAGGAAACATTCAACAGAGCCAAGAGGCAACTGACAGAATGAGAGAAAATATCTGCAAACTATACATCTGATAAAGGATTAATATCCAGAATATATAAGGAACTCAAAGAACTCAACAACAACAAAACAAGCAATCCAGTTAAGAAATAGGCTAAGGATATGAACAAGTATTTTTCAAAGGATGAAACACAAATAGCCAACAGACAAATAAAAAGATGCTCAGGGGCCGGCGCCGCGGCTCAGTAGGCTAATCCTCCGCCTAGCGGCGCCGGCACACCGGGTTCTAGTCCCGGTCGGGGCGCCGGATTCTGTCCCGGTTGCCCCTCTTCCAGGCCAGCCCTCTGCTGTGGCCAGGGAGTGCAGTGGAGGATGGCCCAGGTGCTTGGGCCCTGCACCCCATGGGAGACCAGGAAAAGCACCTGGCTCCTGGCTCCTGCCATCGGATCAGCGCGGTGCACCGGCCGCAGCGCGCCGGCCGCGGCGGCCATTGGAGGGTGAACCAACGGCAAAGGAAGACCTTTCTCTCTGTCTCTCTCTCTCACTGTCCACTCTGCCTGTCAAAAAAAAAAAAAAAAAAAGATGCTCAGGATCACTAGCCATCAGAGAAATGCAAATCAAAACCACCATGAGGTTTCATCACACCCCAGTTAGAATGGCTATGATACAAAAATCTAATAATAACAAATGCTGGTCAAGATGCAGAGAAAAAGGTACCCTAATACATCATTGATGGGACTATAAACTAGTATAACCATTATGGAAGACAGTGTGGAGATTATTCAGAAATTTGAATATAGATGTACTATATGACCCAGCCATTCTACTCATGGCAATTTACCCGAAAGAAATAAAATCAGTATATGAAACAGTTATTAGTATGGCCATGTTTACTATAGATCAATTCACAATAGCTAAGATATGGAAGCTGCCCAGATGTCCATCAATTGACTAATGAATGAAGAAAATTTGGTGCATGCATACATAATGGAATACCACTCAGCCATCAAAAAGAATGAAATTCTGGCTTTCACAACAAAATGGATGCAACTGGAAATCTTTTTGCTCAGTGAAATAAGCCAGTCTTCACAAAACAAATATCATGGTTTCCCTGATTTGTGGTAACTAATATACAGAGTACAAAAAAATATAATGTATATGAGTGAAATTGACATTTTGAGATTTGATTATTGTTTATAGCCCTTGTCCAAAATCCAAACAGCTGATTTTCTACTTACTACTTAATGAATTCTTTATTTAGTGCAGGGTTAAGCATATGACTACAAAGTAAACTGAAAGTATGTCACTGCAAAAATTAAAAGAAAAATAAGGAAGGAAAGAGAACAGAGGGTGGGAGAAAGGGAAGGTGGGAAGGAGTGAAGGTAGGGTGGGAAGCATCATTATGTTCTTAAAACCATCATATATGAAATACTGAAATTTGTTCCCTTTATATAAATAAACTAATTAAAAAAAGAAATCTCAATTTAAAAAACCCAAATTTTAAAAATAGACAAAAGATTAGAACACATCCGTTAAAAAAGAAGATACACAGATACAGAATAGACTTTAAAAAGATAATCAACATCATTTGTGTACAAGGAGATGCTAAATAAAACTGCTGGCAAGGCAGTACATATTCATTTAAATGAATGAAATTTTAAAAAGACTGATCATACAGAATGTTGGTGAGGCTGTGGAAGAACACAAACTCTCATATACTGCTGACAGGAATGTAAAATGGTAAAAATACTTCAAAAAAGAGTTTCGCACTTTCTTTAAATGTAAGCATGCACCTACTACATGTTTCAGCTATTTAATTTTTTAATAATAATATAATAAATTTATTAATTTAATTCAGCTAATTAAGCTGAATGCAAGAAGGCAGGAAAAACAATCATACACAGTTTACTCCATGGGAGATGTGGAAAAAGCTCCCAGTTTCTGGCTTAGGTCTGGCCCAGTCCTGGCTGTTGTGGCCATTTGGAGAGTAGATCAGCAGAAGGCAGAGCTTTATGTATTTAGTTGAAAGGAAGAGTTACAGAGAAGGAGTGGTATAGGCAGAGACACACACACACCTCCTCACACACACACACACATACACACACACACACAGAGATGATCAATCTTCCAACCACTGGTTCACTCCCCCAATGGCTGCAACACAACAGCAAGGGCTGGGCCAAACTGAAGCCAGGAGCTTCATCTGGGCCTCCCACATGGGTATAGGGATGTAAGTACTTGGGCTACCTTCTGCAATCTTTCCAGGAGCATTAGCAGGGAGCTGGATTGGAAGTGCAGCAGCTGGGATTCAAATCAGTGCCAATATGGGATGCCGGCACTGCAGGCTGTCACTTAATCCACTATGCCACAGCACTAGCACCCAAAAAAATAAATCCTAAAAAAAAATATTGCTGGAAAAAAAAAAAAAAAAACCACGAAATTTTAAAATACCATGTCAAGCATAGAGAAGAGGTAGAAAATAGCATGTAGGTTCTAGATTACACAGTAATTAACTGACCTTCTACAAAGTTAAGTTATACATATTCACCTGAGGAAAGAGGTTAAAGTAGAATTTGTAGACTAGATTATAATGATATTGTTCAAAAGATAGCTTAACAGAAGAACTTGATTGTGATCTGATAACAATGTCACTTCACTAAACTGCCAGCCATGTTCAGGTTACTTTTATCATGTTTTCAAAATCAGCAGTATTTTGATTATACATTTGTATTATATACTTACAATAATGTTTTAATCATTCATTTTTAGTACTACAATTATTACACGAAACATAAACTGATTACTATAAATTTCCAAGTTTTTCCAGTGAACATACTACTATAATATGGTACTAAGATTTCCAATTTGACTTTTTAAAAATTTTTCATTCATGTTATGTATTTATTTGAAAGGCAGAGTGATAGAAAGAAAGAAAGAACTGCCATCCAATGGTTCACTCCCCAGATCCCTGCAAAAGCTGGGCCCTATATACACACACACACAGAGAGAAAGAGAGAGAGAGAGAGAGAGAGAGAGAGAGAGAGAGAGAGGATCAATCTTCCAACTACTGGTTCACTCCCCAATTGGCTACAACAGTTGGTTTGGGCCAGGCTGAAGCCAAGAGCCAGGAACTCCACTGAGATAGCCCATCTGGGTGGTGGAATCCAAAATACTTGGGGCATCATCTTTTGCCTTCCCAGGTGCATGAGCAGGAAGTTGGCTCAGAAGCAGAAGATCTTGGTACTCTGATATGAGTTGTGGAGATCCCAAGTGGTGGCTTAACCCACTGTTCCATAATACCTTCTTGACATTTGAAATAAAGCTTAAATGCTTTCACACTGAAGGTAAATCTTACCATAAGAATCCATGGATTTACAAAGGAGCCCAATTGTCCTCCAGTACAGAAAATGATGGTACCAATGACATCACAACCAAGTTGTAAAGTGGTCAGTTAAGTTATGCTTGTCATATGCTTGTCTATGTGGCTGTTTTATAAAGGACTTTAAAAGTAGCTTAAAAACACTCATTAGATAGCTGCTATTACAGTTAATACTGGAGCTTAGCAAAATGTATCAAGAGGAAGTGCTCATTTTCATGTTCAGAAATCATTATTCATTGCTTTTGTGAAAAAAACCCTAGTTTGCATTTAATAAGCTAATATTTAAATGATCATCTTGTCACATAAGTAACAATTACCTGTGAGACACCCAACTTTTTACAAGCATCAAGAAAATTTTCTACATTTCTTCGACATTTTGCCATACTCAGTTTGGGCTGTAAAGAAAAGGAGGACAAAGGTATAGTTTAAGGGATTTTTTTTATACAGAACTTAATCAAAACTGAAAATTGAACTTACTGAGGCAAATTATTTAAGACAGTTTTAAGAAGTGGTATCTTTCATTGGAGAACTAACAAACTGAAGACAAAACTTACCACTGCTGGCGATGGTACATGAATACTAGCTACTGAGCGTGGCCTTATATGATTGGCTAAATGGCAAAGAACAACCCCATCCATCAGTGCAGCTCCAATGTCATCAGGCAAAATTACTTTTAACCTGGATTCAAGATTCTACAAAGAAATGAGTATAAATCATTTATATTCCATCTAAACATATGTATTATATTATTTATATGACTAATTGTCACACAGTCCAAAAACTTTAAAAAAACAATGAAAATGAAATCCACATACATTATTATTTTTCCAAGGAAAACTCATTTCTACAGAGTGAATCTGAAAGGTCAATCTAACTTACATTGCGAAGTTGTCGTATTTGCTCTCGCTCTTCCCGTAAATGTTCCATCTTTCTTCTCATTGTAAATCCTGGATCTGCTGCCCCATATTCCTGGCGAGGAGATCGGCTGAAAGCTATAAAAATAGAAATTTTCTAACTCGTTACAAAAATAATAGGAAGGAGCAACAACGGATGAGGAAAGAGGCATGATTAAAAAGTATCAGTACAAAATTACATAAAACATTATTACTTACAGTCTAAATATTTTAAAATATATTTCAACTCTACTTCTTTGTACATTTAAAAGCAACAGGGAAGACAAATGTAATGATTTATACCACCTATACATGTTCTTACTTAAATATACATTATTATATACTTGTGACCCAGGTTAAAAATGATTACTGATGATTACTGAACACAATGTCAGCCTTTTATCTTTAAAGAAAAAGGAAATTATTCTTGAAGGTCAATACAGTTATTCAGGAATAAAAACTATAATTCAATACCTTGCCAAGTAACATGGATCCATTTTCTTTTGGGCTTGCCAAATGCGAAAAGATCCCTTTTTTAAAACCACAATAAAATGGAGTGCTATAATTTCAAACAGTGTTTGGTCTGCTGGCAGAGTGGTCATTCTAACAGCAGTCACAGTAGAGTAGAAATAAGACTGCAGTATATCTAAGGCAAAAAGCTGAGGTTTCAGGAGCTTGAAGGTAAAGAGGAAGAAAGAAATGGGAATGGGAATTGGAAAGACAAATAAGGTTAAGAGAAAATTACTTTTGGGAGAGGGGAAAGAATCTATGTGTACTTAAAACTATGGAGTCAACCCCACGGAAGCTGGGAAACTCTAGTTTCAAGCATAAGGAATAAATTTTATTTACAGAATATATACTTACCTGATCTAGGTTTCAAGCCAAAGGGGCCATGTGGAAAACCATCAGTTCTGTCATATTCCTAAAAAAAGAAAGCAAATAAAACCTCTTTTCTTTCAAAATCAAGGTACTTATTCTTATCTATTCCAATTTTGAGAAAGTACTAATTTTTTTTCCAAAATTAGTGGAGTAAAGGAAAGTAACTTACATTTCAATTCAAGCTGATACATTTTTAAAGGTCAATAAATATTTGCTAAATGATCTGATTGTGCATGCCTTTAAATACTTTTCTCCCATAATAAAGAAAAATGAAAATCATTACTGAAGTACAAAAAAAGAAAAAATGAGATTAAAGTCTCCAAAGAAATGAAATAAGCAACAATGAAAAGATATGTGAATCCAGCAACATTTACTCAGTATCTGCTATAGATATGACACTTAACAGTGGACAATCTGAGGCCAATATACATATTCAAACTAAGAGGGGCTGCAGAATGACAGATGATAATCTGCTATTGCTTCCATTTTACTGCACATTGTTTTCGAACAGTGGTGTGCTGTGGAGAAATTTATGGTACATTAAACAAATCTGAACTGAGTCAGTCACACAGCTTAGCTTACATCTTGAGAAAAACATTTATTTGTGATTGTTTATTGTTCAAATGGAGTTATGAAGATTAAATGAGATAACTAAATAAAGTACTCTAAATTGTAACATGACAAAATAATGTAATCTTAGGAGCTTCTTAATGAATTGGTGCAACAACTCTATGACATAGGTAGGGCCTAGGCTTCTGGATCACTTCTGTACCATTTAACGAGAGCAGTCCTTGGGGAAGTGATCAGTCTCTTTAGCTGTAAAATGATGAAGCTGCTATATAGTTCAAGGGACTGCCTTTAAGTTCAAATGTAGGAACAAGCACTTCGTTTATAGTAAAACATTGTACTAGTTTTAATAATTTCCTTTCACACACACACATGAAATTGAAGCATTCAAGATTCTGTAGATTATCTGAATCTTCTGCTAGTAAACATGATGCACAGGCCAGTGCCACGGCTCACTAGGCTAATCCTCTGCCTGTGGCGCTGGCACCCCAGGTTCTAGTCCCGGTTGGGGTGCCAGATTCTGTCTCGGTTGCTTCTCTTCCAGTTCAGCTCTCTGCTGTGGCCCGGGAGTGCAGTGGAGGTGGCCCAAGTGCTTGGGCCCTGCACCCGCATGGGAGACCAGGAAGAAGCACCTGGCTCCTGGCTTCGGATCAGCGCAGTGTACCGGCCATAATGGCCATTTGGGGGGTGAACCAATGGAAGGCAGACCTTTCTCTTTCTCTCTCTCTCTCTCACTAACTCTGCCTGTCAAAAAAAAAAAAAAAAAAAAAGACATGATACACAGTTCAGGCTATTATTTGCGCAACCAAAACACGTTCTTATCACCCTGTCTAGCCACAAGTCTCAGAGTTTGTCATAATTATATTGATTGAAGTGTTATGAATTTCTAGACCATAAAATCACAGAGCAACTAGGCAATTAAGTAGTAGTCACGTGTGTTATAACTTAAAGAATAGGTTTACAAAAGCATGTGCCAATAACTAGGATGATGAGAATATCCTAATTTTAAGTATTTTCCAGAAGTATGTATACCATTTTACCTAGCATACAAATAATTTGGAAGCATGTTTATAAAACTAATGCCCAAGTCCATTTTTAAGGAATTATTTATTTATTTGAAAGGCAGAGAATCACCAAGGGAGCGTAAGCAAGACAGAGAGGGAGAAATCTTCCACTGCTGGTTCACTCCCCAAAAAGCCATAAAAACTGGGGTTGGGTCAGGCTGAAACCAAGAGCAGGGAACTCCATCTGAGTCTTCAGTGTGTGTGGCAGGGATTTAAGTACTTGAGTCATCATCCGCTGCCTTCTCGGGCACATTAACAGGAAACCAGATTGGAAGTGGGGTAGCCAGAACTCAAACCCAGCACTCTAATGTGGGTTGCTGGCAATACAAGCAGTGGCTTATCCTGCTGCTCTACAACATGGGACCCTGCCCGAGTCTGTTTAAAAGTTTTATAATGCAACTCACTCAAAACAATAAAAAAAAAAATCTTGGCTTAAAAAAAGTAACATCATCTACACATAACAAAATATTATCTAAAATTATTCAGTTAATTGAAACCATCCAAATATTTAGACAGTCATGAATTCACCAAATAAACAATTAATCATTTACTTACTAATACTGATACACTTTAGAATAGTAAGTAGTATAATCTGAAGTAGAAAAGAGACTGTTTAGAGTTTTTCAAAATGTATCTCTTGTTATAAAATAATAGGTTTAATCAAATTAGAAGAATCAATCATCCAAACTACCAGAGTATAAACTGTAATTTCCATATACCTGTTCTCCCCATGCTCTCAAATTAGGTCTAAGATGCAGGGAATTTGTAACCTCTTGTCGATAGGAACAACCCACTGCAGGGATGTTTCTCGTGGAAAAAGGAAGTTTCTCTTGCATTGCTTTCAGACCTAACTGGTTACAAGAAAAACCAAAGGCCATTGCACAATGCTGAAGTGCTATTTTCAAATTTAAAATGTTAAGGCTATTCTTAAAATCCATAATTTATTTTAAAATATGGATGAATTAAAAAGTACCCTTTTCATAAAGTAAATTATCTTCTGTTATACAGAGATGTTTCCATAGAAAATCATAAACAAAGTGCTATTATTATGAATACTTATACCAAACATGTTATTTTTAGAATCCTTTATAGAAGGTTTATACAAACTAACCTAACATAGATTTTTGAATGATTGAATATATTATGTGGCAAAAAGAAAAGGTGAGGTTAGAGAGAAGAGGCAAGGGAAAAACCCTACAGAAAACACACACAAAAAAAAAGCCATGAAAAAACACATTTAACATATAAAACCAGAATTTGTACCTCAGACGATACTGGAGATTGTGGTGACATATAAGCATTATCACTGTCTTGCTAAAATATAAAAATAAAAGATGAAAGATGAAATTAAAATACAAATGATGATTTAAACACATAAAATGAAAAATGAAAATTATTTTGATCAACTGGTAAAGACAGACTCTGGAACACACCATCTGGCACCTTGCCAGTCAACATGTGCTCTGTAAACACCAGCATAGTTATCCTCTGGGAATCCGTTAGAAATACAGAATCTTAGGCCCTAATCAACACCAAATCAGAATGAATATCTATCTATATCTATATATATATATATACACACATATATGATTCCGAAGTATCTTAAAGTTTGTGAAGAACCATCTTCACATAATAGCAATGATGTGTTACAATCTGAGACATGTTAATAAAGGCATGCAAAAGTTCAATTACCCTTTTTGGTGCTCAGTTAGTTGTCACCTATCAAGGAGAACAAGTGGTATTTGTCCCTTTGGGATTGGCTTATTTCACTCAACATAACGTTTTCCAAATTCCTAACAGGGATCACTTTTCAGTTAAAATTTAAACACCTAAGAATAATTGTGTGTTAATTACAGAGTTCAACCAATGGCACTAGAACAAAAAAAAATACTAAAAAAGTGAAATGAACACTATGAGAAATGGTGACTTGATCAGCCCTCACCCTGACTGTTGATGAGCAGCTTAATATGTTATCCCTCTTAGTATTTTTTTTGTTTGTTCTACTTAATACTTTTGGTTGAATACTGTAATCAATACACAATTCTTCTTAAGTGCTGAAACTTAACTGAAAAGTGATCACTGTTAAATATAAGAGTGGGAATAAGAGAGGGAAGAGATGTGCAATTCCAGACATGCTCAAGCTGACTTACCTCAAACGGTAGACTTAGAAACATACCAGGGGATTCGAATTCAATCCCATTAAGGTGGCATGTACCAATGCCATCTCACTAGTCCCAGTGATCAATTTCTGTTCACAATTGATCGTAATGATAGGACTAAGAACCAAAGGGATCACATAAACAAGAATAGGGTCTGCAAATACTAGCTGATAGAATCAAAAAGGGAGAGAATGATCCAACATGGGAAGTGAGACACACAGCAGACACATAGAATGGCAAATGTCCTATCAGCACTCTGGCCTCATAATCAGCCCTTAAGGCATGCGGATCCGGCTGAAATGCCCATGAGAGTATTTCAGGCATGGAAAGCCAAGACACTCTGGGGGAAAAAAAAAAACCTAAATGAATGATCTCCACGAGTGAGATCCCAGTGGAAGGAATGGGTCATCAAAGAAGGAGGTACCTTTCTCTGAAGGGAGGAGAGAACTTCCACTTTGACCATGGCCTTGTCTAAATATGATCAGAGTCGGTGAACTCAGGGGGCTTCCATAGCCTTGGCAGCTCATGACAAGAGCCTAGGGTGATTACTGAGGCCATAAACAAGAGTGTCAATTTGTTAAGTCAACAACAGGAGTCACTGTGCACTTACTCCTCATGTAGGATCTTTGTCCTTAGTGTGCTGTACATTGAGATTTAATGCTATAACTAGTACTCAAACAGTATTTTTCACTTTATGTTTCTGTGCGGGAGCAAACTGTTGAAATCTTTACTTAATGTATGCTAAACTGATCTTCTGTATGTTCTGCGAATCTGAAGTGAATCTTGATGTGAATGGAAGGGGAGAGGGAGTGGATAAGGGGAGGGTTGCGGGTTGGAGGGACATTATTGGGGGGGAAGCCATTGTAATCCATATTCTATACTTTGGAAATTTATATTCATTAAATAAAAGTTAAAAAAAAGTTCAATTACCCAAATAAGTACTTTTATCTGGAAAACTATGTGTGTCTAACATAAGCTTAGAAATAATTAAAAAGAATTTAACTGAATAAAATATTAAATGGCCCATGATTTTAATGACTATTCTAATGCCAACCAAATATAAGTCTTGATATTTTAACCTTGAATATGCATAACAAATAGAACATTCATTCATTCATTCATTCAACAAATGATTATTGGCTACCTATTATATGTCAGACACCAGGCTACACAGTGGCAGCATTAAAATTTGGTAAATGCTATCGTCTATTCAAGAATCTCTCAGTCTAAGAACAAAATACATTAATGTATGTAGGTGATACAACAATCTTAGGACAATATAGGGCTATGCACGGTATATTACAAGGGACAGATAAGGGGCTCTTGGGGTGGGTATGTTGGAGAAAAGCAAGTTTCTTGCAAAAGTAGAAACTGTAGAAAAATAGAATGTTCAACATAAAAAGAAGGAAAAAGAACACACTGTAAGATGAGAAGACAAGAACAAAGACAAACTCACAAATTGTGAGTTGAGGCTGATGTGGTAAGTAGGGGCTTGACCAAGAAGGACCTGGGATTTACCTTATACGTTATGGGGAGAAACTGAATGTTCCTAAGGAAGGAAATGGCCTGATTATATTTGCTTTCTTAGAAATGATCATTCTGGTTGCAGTAAGCAGAATGGACTGGAGAATGAAAGAAGAGTGGGTTAAGTACTGCAGTGGTCCAGTCAAGAAATCATTAGGACCCTGCCAAAGTAGAAACAGTAAAAATGGAGACAGGAAAAGTATACACAACATTTCTGTACTAAAAAATAAAGAGTAGGTCTTGGCAACTGATTATATAACTAAGCAAGAAGGACAAAAAGACATAAGAGGGGACAGAGAGAGTAGGCAAAGTAAATCTCTAACTTAGGGTTTAACCAGTATTTTCTGTAAAAGGTCAGGTAGTAAGTATTTCATGATTTGTGGGACACATGATCTCTGTGGCAACTACCGAATCCTGCAACTGTAATATAAACGCAGCTATAAGTAAATGGATATGGCTGAATTCCAATAAAATGGTACTAAAGGGGCCGGCACTGTGGAGCAGCTGGTAAAGCCGCCACCTGCAGTGCTGCCATCTGTTTGGGCGCTGGTTCGAGTCCCGGCTGCTCCACTTCTAATCCGGCTCTCTGCTATGGCCTGGGAAAGCAGCAGAAGATGGCCCAAGTCCTTGAGCCCCTGCACTCATGTGGGAGACCTGGAAGAAGCTCCTGGCTCCTGGCTTCGGATCAGCGCAGCTCTAGCTGTTGCAGCCACCTGGGGAGTGAACTAGCGGATGGAAGACCTCTCTCTCTGTAACTCTGCTTTTCAAATAAAGAAATACATTTTTTAAAAAAAACTGTACTACAAAGTTAAGGGCCAGATGTGCTCCCTGGGCCATAGTTTGCTAATCCTTGCTCTAGTCAGACAGTGAATGATGATTTCACTGAGTTTTTTTCAACCTTGGCTACCCATTAAGTTCACACAAGAAACTAAAAATCTCATTGTCCTAGTCACACCCCATCATACCACATGCCAATTAAATGATCATATTTAGACAAGGCCATGGTCAAAGTGGAAGTTCTCTCCTCCCTTCAGAGAAAGGTACCTCCTTCTTTGATGACCCGTTCTTTCCACTGGGATCTCACTCGCGGAGATCTTTCATTTAGTTGTTTTTTTTTTTTTCCCCAGAGTGTCTTGGCTTTCCATGCCTAAAATACTCTCATGGAAATCTAATTTTGAGTTTTAAAATAGTATACACAGAATTTGTGGAAAGTGTTCCCAAAAGGAGTTCTTTAAAGATCTCAATTGACTACCATGTTGATTTAGGAAAATAAAAGATAGGAAAAGGTAATAAAGCATGGATTACAGGTCCAAGACAAATGATGATAAAATTCTAACATTGAACTATTAGAAATTCTGTTCAAAAGGACAGATGGGAAACTGCATGATTCAGTTAACAGCTGTATGATGATGCCTGTAAGTTGTTACTATTGCAGAAAGCTATATATTCAATCAATAAGAAAGAAATTGAAAAATGAAATGCATTTTACTTTGAAGCAACTAAATGTGAAAAGTAAACATTTCAAATAATTAAGATTATCCTTTTCTCACCTCATCATTTTCATTGCCACTTGAACTCTTCCTCATTGATTTATACTGAAAAATATTCAAAACATATACTTTACTTTTCTTTGCATATGAATCTCTACAAGGAAGTTATGTCTTATTCATGTTTTACTACTTTTATTAAATTACTTGATATTAAATTTATGTGACCAGTTTAAATGTCCTACTACTAACTTATATAATGCTTTCTATGCACAAGGAATTGTTCTAAGTACTATACATATCTCAAGTAAAATTCCTGACTAAATCAATCCCACTTCCCATTCACTCAGGTTTGCAATCTGAGGGTTGTCTTAATTAGAGTCTTTCTTTTTCTTAATTCACATATCTAATGTCATTAAGTCAATTCTTTTTGAAATTTCTCTGACTTACCTCTTCTGAATTTTCACAACTGCCTTATCCCAGGCTCCCATTATCTCACACTTGGTCTATAATCTCACTATTCTTATATATTAATAGATGCTATCCATTGATAAGAAACAATGATTTTGGGACAAAAACGTTACCTTTTATTAATATACAGACTGTACAATAATGATAAAAGCTAACATTTACACTACTACTAATTATCTACCAGTACATATATTAACCCATTTAATCTTCATAACAATCCTATGGGGTAAGTAGCATTAGGCCTATTTTACAATAAGACACAGAGATAATAACATGCTCAACAAAAAGAATACTATGAAAAAAAGAATGCTAAGAAAATGTTTCTTAGAATCAAGAAAATGCAGTATGACAACCTCTGGAGTTGTTCTACTTAAAATTTTTACTTATTTATTTATTTATTTATTTTTTTTTTTTGACAGGCAGAGTGGACAGTGAGAGAGACAGAGAGAAAGGTCTTCCTTTGCCGTTGGTTCACCCTCCAATGGCCGCCGCGGCCGGCGCGTTGCGGCCGGCGCACCGCGCTGATCCGATGGCAGGAGCCAGGAGCCAGGTGCTTTTCCTGGTCTCCCATGGGGTGCAGGGCCCAAGCACCTGGGCCATCCTCCACTGCACTCCCTGGCCACAGCAGAGGGCTGGCCTGGAAGAGGGGCAACCGGGACAGAATCCGGCGCCCCGACCGGGACTAGAACCCGGTGTGCCGGCGCCGCTAGGCGGAGGATTAGCCTATTGAGCCGCGGCGCCGGCCATATTTATTTTTATTTAAAAGGCAGAGAGGCAAACACAGAAAAAGAGGCAGGAGGGAGTGTAGGAGGGAAGGAGAAAGCAGTTTTCCATCTGCTGGTTCACTTCCTAAATACCTGCAACAGCTAGGGCTGAGACAGGCTGAAGCGAGGAGCTGGGGACTCCATTTGGCTCTCCTACATGGGTGGCAGAGAGCCAAGTACTTGAGCCATCATCTACTGCCTCCCAGGATGCACAACAACAGGAAGCTGGAATTGGAAGACTAGCCAGGATTCAAACCCAGGGACTCCAATATGGGATGTGGGTGCACCAAGCAGCGTCTTAACTGTTGTGCCAAATATCCATCTAGTAGTTCTTTCTTCTGATCCCTCATCACTGTAAATGAGTTTGCAAAGCAGTGACAGATAAATCTTCAGCCTGCAATTTGAAGACTGTTCTATTGAAAAAACTCTACTAATTTTCAAATTTTGTCCAAACTTTTTGCTTGGAATAAGTCCCCTTTACTTACGCAGCTTCCACAACCTTTAGGAGAACAGATGATTGATATCTCAAGCACAGACTGGGACCTGTACTAGGGATTACAAATATAAAGCATACATCCTTCCACTGTCTCTCCTTTTACAACTAGCACTCATCTATCAGCATGTTCTTTGCAGCTGATGCCTGATATGGCTTCACTATGCTTTCAATCCAGTTTTCCAGAGAACCACTTAATGAAGTTGGCATGTGCAAAAAAAAAAAAAAAAAAAAAAAAAAAAAAAAAAAAAAGAAAGAAAAAGAAAAAAGAAAAAACACAAGGGCCAGCACCTGTGGCATAGTGAGCTAAGCCTCCTCCTGCAGCACCAGTATCCCATATGGATGTTGGTTTGTGTCCCAGCTGCTCCTCTTCCAATCCAGCTCTCTGCTATGGCCTGGGAAAGCAGTAGAAGATGGCCCAAGTGCTTGCACCCTGCACCCACGTGGGAGACCCAGAAGAAGCTCCTGGCTTCAGAACGGCCCAGCTCTGGCCGTTGCGGACATCTGGAGAGTTAATCAGCAGGTGGAAGACCTTTCTCTCTGTCTCTCCCTCTGTAACTCTACCTCTCAAATAAATAAATAAATAAATCTTCCAAAAAAAAAAAAAAAAAGAAAAGAAAGAAAGAAAACTTATATGCTATTCCCAGGCAAAATGTTTACTGAATTCACTTATTTTTGGTTCTATTCAACTTAAATGAAAGTGACATCTGAGTGTATAATATGCTAATGTACGCTTACTCTGTGACAAGTGCTATTCCAAATACTACAAAGAAGTTAGGCTCAATTAGGTTATGTGACTTGCCAAAGTCACACAGTTAGTACTAAGGAATGGAACCCAGTATTTTTATACTTGCTCAAATACTATGATATACTCCCATTTCTAAATCTTAGAATGACTAGTAGGAAATTGTCAAGAATAAAAGGGCTAATGAGCATTCTCAGAAGACAAAGAATAAGAAAATAAAAAAGTAAAGCCAGAATGGGTGTTTGGCCTAATGGTTGAGATGCCAATTAAAGCATGTCCTACATCAGAGTGGCTGAGTTTGATGACCGGTTCTGGCTTGACATTTCAGCTTCCTGACAATGCAAACCCCTGGAAGGTAGCAGCTGATGGCTCAAGTAGTTGGGTGCCTGTAATCATGTGAGAGGCCTGAATTCAGTTGCTAACTCCAAGCTTCAGTCTGGCCCAAGGCAACTGCAGACATCTGGGGAGTGAATCAACAGATAGGAGCTTCCTCTGTTTCCATGTCTGTGCCTCTCAAATAAAAAAATAAATAATTAAAAATTACAAATAAAATTTCCTAAAACCCTAAACCTAATATATAACTAGATTTAAAAATATTCTATAAGCCAAATTTTTTACTAATTCAGTTAAACTATACCCAATTAGTATTCATCTGGATTACTGAAGTTTTATTACAATTGAATTCAAATATTACAATAAAGGCCTGGTTTAAAACCAGAGAAAAAGAAATGTCAGTTCATTTCTGAAGCTAATATTAATTTCAGAGGAGTGGAAATAACTTGTGCACAAATACTGACTCAGAATAAATTGGGTAATTTTATAATCTCAGATGGCTTCCATATACCAGTATAAAATTAACAATGATCATAGAAAAGATATAAAATTATTTTCCTTGGAGTTAGATTTTAAACAAAAAAGTACTGTATTTTAAAAAGTCAGTATAGTATTTTTTAAAAGATTTTATTTATTCTTTAAGAGGCAGAGTTACAGAGAGAGAGGGAGGGACAGAGAGAAAAGTCTGCCATTCACTGGTTCAATCTCCAAATGACTGCAATGGCCTGAACAGAGCTGATCCCAAGTCAGGAGCCAGGTGTTTCTTCCAGGTCTCCCATGTGGATGCAGGAAGCACTTGGGCCACCCACCATTATAGTGTTTTATCACAACAATAATGAGATATATTCAATGATATATGGCACTTAAATAAATTAAACAACATTCAAAACTAATTTGTTAATCTAATGATTTTTAACTTGTTTTGTTTAGAAACCAACCAGCAAATGCATATAGAAATGCGTGCTAACAATCTTAAGAGAAATAAAAGCTACTATTTTATATTAAACATTATCACCAAAAAGTCAGATTTTTTATACTTTGCTGTATACCTTACCAAAATAATATTAATTTCTATAAAAGATGTTTGGTAATGTGTTTCCTATAATATATTTCCTTTGATAAATGCAGTGATTTTATTTTGGCTTTAAGGACACTAAATTTTATATACTAGACTAGTAATCTACTCAACAGTAGCTTAGGAATCTAAAGGAATTAATGTTAACTAATATTGACTATGATTCACTTACTCATACAATCTGACCCAATTTATCTTCTTGCTCATAATCTGGCCAATATGCTGAAATAGTTTTATTTAGTTTCACGGGCTTATGTGAGAAATATACTAGTCTTGGCAACTACAAAGAAACAAGAACTGGATTTGAAATACTCAGGTGTGTGCATGCACACACACAGACACACACGTTGAATAAATATACTCAATAATAGTTTTATGAATAATTTACCATTTTCCAGAAACAAAGAAATCCTGTGAATCATTTAGCTGTGTTGGATAAAGTTGCTCAAAAGGCTTCACTCCAGACATGATACGAGTCAACATGGAGCAAGCTCAGTAACGCTTTGACATAAATCTCTACCAGTCTTATAGCTCTTTTGATTATTGGGAGGTAAGTGTTTAAGAGAAATTTTCTTTTTTTCGTAGAGATACTTCATAGAAAACCATGTCTTAATAATGAAAATACTGGCAGTTCTGAATAATAAGTTTAATTTAAAGATAGTATCTAAATTTCAAATTTTCTTGATATTTTAGGAAAAAGTTGTTGACATCCAATTTATTTTGCAGCGTCCTAACACTGACATCTTCTGACAAATGAGGAGAACTACACATCTCCTTAAAGTATTTCCCAGCTTATGTTTGCACCGACTTTATCAAGTAAGACATACGTTAACATTTCTTGAATGAGAATGACAGAATTAACACTTTAAATATTTTCTCATTCCATTTCTAAGCAACTTTAGAACATAATCAGTAGTTTAGAAGTCATAAAAAATAAAATACTTATCAATGAATGAAACTATTAAATCAAAGAATTATCTATTTTTAAAGGCTCATAAAGCTTCTATTAAGGCTTTATTGAAAAGTTCACTAGAGATAGTTAATATAGAGAGTACAAGAAATATATATGAGTGAAATTGACATCCTGTGATTTGATTATTATTTATAGCCCTTGTCTATACTCCTGAGGAACAGTGTTTCTCCTTTCTACTTGTTGAATTCTTTATTTAGTGGCAGATTAACTTTGTGATTATAAAGTAAATTGAAAGTACGTTATCGTGGCTGGCATTATGGCATAGCAGGTAAAGCCACTGCCTGCAGTGCCAGCATCCCATATGGGCACTGGTTCAACTCCCGGCTGATCCACCTCTTTTTTTATTGATTTTTTAAAAATATTTATTTATTTGAAAGTCAGAGCTACACAGAGAGAGGAGAGGCAGAGAGAGAGAGAGAGAGAGAGAGAGAGGTCTTCCATCCAATGGTTCACTCCCCAATTGGCCGCAACTGCCTCCATCCAAAGAAGCTGCATCCATCCGATGGAGCTGCACCCATCCAAAGCCAGGAGCCTCTTCCAGGTCTCCCACGTGGGTGCAGGGGCCCAAAGACTTGGACCATCTTCCACAGCTTTCCCAGGCCACAGCAGAGAGCTGGATTGGAGGTGGAGCAGCCAGGACATGAACCGGTGCCCATATGGGATGCTGGCGCTTCAGGCCAGGGCGTTAACCCACTGCGCCACAGCGCCAACCCCAGCTGATCTACTTCTTATCCAGCTCTCAGCTATGGCCTGGGATAGCAGTACAAGATGGTCCAAGTTCTTGGGCCTCTTCACCCACATGGGAGACCCTGGAGAAGCTCCTGGATCCTGGTTTCAGATCAGCATAGCTCCAGTGGTTGCAACCATTTGGGGAATGAACCAGCGGATGGAAGACCTCTCTCTCTCTGCGCCTAACTCTGCCTTTCAAATAAAAAATAAATCTTTTAAAAAATGAAGGAAATATTATAACTGTCTACTAAAATTTTTTAAAAGTATGTTATCACAAAAATTAAAAGAAAAATAAGAAAGGAGGAGGGAAGGTGGGAAGTATCATTATGTTCTTAAAAACTGTATATATGAAATACATGAAACCTGTTCTCTTTATATAAATAAATTTATTGAAAAAAGAGAAAAAAGTTCACTGAAGTCATTGTAAAACTTTTTTTTTAAAGTAACACTGGGGGTCAGCACTGTGGCACAACCAGTTAAGCCTCTGCCTGCAATGCCGGCATCCCATATGGGTTCCGATTCAAGTCCTGGCTGGTCCATTTCCAATCTAGCTCCCTGCTAATGCGCCTGGGAAAGCAGCAGAGGATGACCCAAGTGCTTAGGCCCCTGCACCCACGTGGGAGACCCGGAAGAAGTTCCTGGCTCCTGGTTTTGGACGAGCCCAGCTCTGGCTGTTGCAGCCATTTGGGGAGTGAGCCAGTGGATGGAAGACCTCTATGTATCTCTCCCTCTCTGTTAACTCTGCCTTTCAAACACATTAAATAAATCTTAAAAACAGCTAAAATTGCATTTTTTCAAAGTGTTCATTTGATATTGGGTTTTCCACAGTAATCTTAACTCTCTGCCTATTAATTAGAGCATACTACTTAGCCTCTCTGTGCCTTAATTTTTCCATCTGTAAAATATAGATGACAATTGAATTTACCTCATAGAGTTGTTATGAAGGTTAAACAAGTTGATATTTGAAAAGCATTTAGAATAGTGCCTGGCATTTTTTAGACCCATATAAGAGTTGGTGGGTGTAAGCTAGTAAAATCATTATGAAAGACAGTATGGAGATACCTCAGAAATCTAAAAATAGATCTACCATATGACCCAACCATCCCATTCCTGGGAGTTCACCCAAACTAAATGAAATCAGCATATGAAAGAGTGATCTGTACCCCCATGCTTATTGCAGCTCAATTCACAATAGGTAAGATATGGAATCAACCCAGATGTCCATCAACTGATGACTGGAAAAAGAAAGTGTGGTGTATATATACACAGTATGGAATACTACTCAGCCAAAACAAAGAATTAAATCCTGTCTTATGCAACAAAATGAAATGTATACAACTGGAAACTATTATGCTTACTGCAATAAGACAGTCCCCAAAAGCAAGTATCATATGTTTTCTCTAATATGTGATAGTTAGTATAGAATACAAAAACATGTATAAAAGTGAAACATACATCATGTGATTTGATTGTTGTTTGTAGTTCTTGTTTATACTCCTGTGGAACTGTGGTCTTTCTACTTTTTACTTGTTGAATATTATGGTTAGTGGTGCATTCCAATTATAATTATAGGGGCCAGCACTGTGGCGCAGTGGATAAAGCCACCGCCTGCAGTGCCGGCATCGTATATGGGTGTTGGTTCGAGACCCAGCTGCTCTACTTCCAATCCAACTCTCTGCTAGGGCCTGGGAAAGCAGCAAAGGATGGCCCAAGTCCTTGGGCCCCTGCACCCATGTGGGAGACCCAGAAGAAGCTCCTGGCTTCGGAATGGCACAGCTCTGGCCATTGTGGCCAACTGGGGAGTGAACCATTGGATGGAAGACCTCTCTCTCTCTCTCTCTCTCTCTCTGCCTCTCCTCTCTCTGTGTAACTCTAACTTTCAAATAAATAAATAAATTTTTTAAATTATGATTATAGAGTGGACTGAATTATGTTTTTGCAAAAATTAACAAAACAAGAAAGAAGGGAAGGAAGGTGGGCGATTGAGAGCAAGAGGGAAATATGGTTATCTTCTTAGAACCATACCTATGAAATACCATGAACTATGTTCTCTTTATATTAATAAAAATTTTAAAATAAAGTGAGAATCCATCTGGCTATATTATACTAAGATAAAGGAGATGTAATAAATATCCAATTTTTGTTTACTAAATACTACAGCAATTTTCCCTACATCATCATTCATGAAGTTTTATCTGTAAACAAATTTTATTCAGTGCCTTTATTAAAGGCTCATAAAGGGGAACCTTCTTCCATATGTGTTCCGTCACTGCCATCCACTTCTCTCATCAGAGGACAAATCAATGGGGCTGCCCAATTTGGGGATGTGAATATGCAGAACTGTAGTTCTGTAGTTCATGTAGTATATCTCATGAATTTCGTTTTAGTAATCAAAAGGGAACTAATTCAATACTACATAATTGTACAACTAGCAACGTAGCAAAAATTTATCTTTCTCATAGGATGTAGTGAATTAAAATTTATTTTAGTCCATTCTTGTTCTGAATTACTGAAATTTTATGGATATAATTGGATTGTATATATCACATCCAAGTGGGATATTAAGATAAAATAACACAACATTTCCTGCATTTAACTAGAGTTATATTATATGTTAACTCAAAACTAAGAAAATCAAATCCAGTAATTACAAAATAAATTTTAAAATTCGATAAAGTACCTTGAAATATTCTTTTCTAATCTGTTTGCTCCGCCTCCTTTCTTCACTTTGCCAGATTATAGGCTGAGATTCTGGCCACTGTTGTTCATCTATTTGATCCTTCTGATTTTCTAAGGGCTATAATTAGACAATTTATTTTAAATAAAGAAATGAGAACAAAATAATAGATACAATAGTATTTTAATGTCCTCTTACCTGCCATGGGAGGGGTGATAACGGTGAATTAACTTCATCTGTTGAGACACTAAAAAATTAAAGATGCCTTAATATGTAAACGTTTAAAATAATCCTTAGATATACATTATGAGCATTATAAACTTACCTTTTTTTAAAAGCAGAAACGTAAAGAGCTTACCCATGACTAAACTTTGAAGTAATAACATAAAACTTAATGTTAACAAAAACATTTTAAGTTCCCAACAACTGTTGCTCCATAGGAAACATCAATATGGGTTTAATTTATGAAATCCTAAGCATAAGACTACTCAAAGTACTTTGTAGAAGCCAGCAGAAGTGTAATACACATATCTATAGACATACAGTCAAAGACAAGACAGGATATTTATTACACTAAAATAATTATCAAAAACTATGTTTAAATCAATTAATAATTTCCTTTGTTTAGATGCCAAAAAGCTCTGGTCAGTAATTCTTTTTGCTCTACTGAATTGTAGATTATAAGCCCCAAACTCTCCATTCTGAAGCAAGAGGAACTATGAAGGAAATTCTTATCATATAGTTTTGTTGTAAGAATAATGAAAACTGCACACACTATTGTTAGCTGGCAGATTTTCACAAGGATTTTCATTGGATAAAATATATAAACAAAATGTGCACTAGAGCTGCTAATATTTTTAACACTATTGAGAAACTTCTATGAAATACAGTAAGAAAGAAAGATGTAAACATTAGTGAGAAAGAATCAAATTCACAAAATTTAGGAAACAAAATTAAGATAAAACTATCATAATAAGAAGGTTATCAGTTAGAGACAAAAGCATAAAAGCTTTCCTATGTACCAACTATAATGAAAAGTAAAATATATTAGAAATATTTATAGCATAACATATCTAGAAAGAAACTTGACCACACATGTATAAGACCTACATGAAAAAAATCACTAATGTCTAGTAAAGGACTTGAGTAACTGGAATGTTCTTGGACAGTAAAACAAGTATTACAGGTATAATTTAACTGTTAAATTCATTACCACAATGAACTCTAACAACAACAAAAAAAGTATTCGTGACTTGCTATAGAAATTTGACAAGTTTCAAAATTAATCTGGAAGAATGGTGTTCCAAAAAAGTTATCAAATAAAGAGGACTTCATTACCAGATTAAGAAAACAAAACTAGAATATAAAACAGCTAGCTCCAAAATCTGCAGATTTTACAAGAGAACATGAATATAGAACTGCAAGTATAACTTATAATCAAAATGTCATTTAAAAGCCTTACAGTGAGGGTGGGCATCTGAACTAGTGGAAGACCCCTTTCTCAGCCTCTCCCTCTCTATATATATAAATTTGGTTTCAAATAAATAAACCGTTTATACAAATTTTTAAAAATCCACAAGTCTATTTCCCATTTGGACAAAAAAGGCGATAGAAATGGAAAATGACTGAGATCAGATAATAAGAAAAAGGAAAAATAAATTAATTCATAACAGTACTAAAAATAATTCAAAAACTAATAACATAAAAAACAATTTCTAAGTGTTCATCATTATTCTCAAAAATTTACCTATATTAATCTATTTCATCTTCACAATAACCACAAGACAGAAACTGCTATTATTTGTGGGTTTTTTTTAGAAGGCTTTTATTTAATAAAAAGTTTCATAGGTACAACTTTTCAAATATAGCAGTTCCCCCCATACCCACTCTGTTACCCCCAAACTGTCCCACCTCCTACTCCCTCTCTCATCCCATTCTTCTTTAAGATTTATTTTTAATTACCTTAATATACAGAAGACCAACTCTATACTAAGTAAAGATTTCAACAGTTTGCTTTACAAATGGGATAAATATGGCTCAGAGGAAGTTAAAAACCTTCCCAACAGACAGATCCAGGACCCAAATTTAGACAGTTCAGTTCTAGCAATCTAAACTCTTACAACTCTATGCTAATTTATCTACAACCTCATCAGAAGAAAGGTGAACAGAACAAAATAGTCAGAGAACTAACATTTACTAAGCATGAGCCAGGCACTAGGGCTGATTTAAAAATTTATTATTATTTTTTTAAGATTTATTTATTTATTTGAAAGTCAGAGTTACACAGAGAGAGGAGAGGCAGAGAGAGAGAGGTCTTCCATCCAATGGTTCACTCTCCAATTGGCTGCAACGGCCAGAACTGTGACAATCTGAAGCCAAGAGCCAGGAGCTTCTTCCAGGTCTCTCATGCGGGTGCAGGGGCCCAAGGACTTGGGCCATCTTCTACTGCTTTCCCGGGACATAGCAGAGACCTGGATTGGAAGTGGAGCAGCCCAGTCTCGAACCGGTGCCCATATGGGATGCTGGCACTTCAGGCCAGGGCGTTAACCCACTGTGCCACAGCGCCGGCCCCCTAAAAGTTTATCTAAAACCTCATAGGTAGCAAGTGCTAAAGTGAGTGTCTCACTCAAATCTTCCTGATGTTAAGGTGCATACTCTTTCAAGTATACTCCTGCGGTGATGGTATCCCACATGGGTGCTGGTTCAGTCCCAGCTGCTCCACTTCTGACCCAGGTACCTGCTAATGCACCTAGGAAATCAGCAGAAGATGGTCCAACTCTTTGGGCCCCAGTACTCCCATGGGGGACCCTAAGGAGGTTACTGGCTCCTGGGTTTGGACTGGCCCACTTTCAGCCATTGTGGCCATTTGAGGAGTGAACCAGCGGGTAGAAGATTTTTCTGTCCCTCCCTCTCTCTGTCTCTGAACTCTCATTCAGATAAAGAAATTAATGTTTAAAAAAATTAAGTATACCATGCTATCTTGCCAAACAATTTCTCAATAGTTTACCATAACTTTCATGTATATATGCAATGACCTAGCGCTCATGCTAATGGCCAGAAGTGGCTAGGAATCTTGTATAAGGCTACCCAGGCATTTCAGAAAGACTGACCAATTTATCCAAAGCCTAAGGAGCCAGAATCTTTCCAGGTCCTTCCTACAAGTCTGTATGTTGCCTAATGAAACTAACGGGCAATCATTTCTATTAGTTGTGGATCTGTAGACTCAATCCCTGTTTTAAAATACAAGCACATCTAAAACAGCAATATATTAGGACTATATAAATTATTTTTAAAAGATTTATCTGCCTATTTGAAAGTCAGAGTTAGAGAGAGAGAGGAGAGGCAGAGAGAGAGAGACAGAGGTCATCCATCTGCAGGTTCACTCCCCAATTGGCTGCAAAGGCTGGAGCTGCACCCATCCGAAGCCAGGAGCCAGGAGCTTCTTCCAGGTCTCCCACGTGGGTACAGGGGCCCAAGGACTTGGGCCATCTTCTACTGCTTTCCCAGGCCATAGCAGAGAGCCGGATTGGAAGTGGAGCAGCCAGGACTCAAACCGGCACCCATATGGAATGCTGATACTGTAGGCGGAGGCTTTACCCACTGGGCCACAGTGCCGGCCCCATAAATTATCAACTTAATGAGTGCTGTGACCATTTCTCTCTTGATCAATGTTGTATCTCCCAGCACATAACACAATTCTTGACATTCAACATTTTAACCTATGCTCCCAATTCATCCACTCAACAAATATTTATTGAGGCCCTAATATGTGTGCCCATGCATTGTGCTAAGTGTAGGGATATGGAAGAACACAAAATAAAGTTTCTAATCTTATGAAATATGTATGGTACTGTGACCAGGAAGTGGCAAGGTGCTGATAAAAAAACAATAAACAAATAAAGAAGTATACATTCAGAATGTATAATGTATTATATTCCATGGAGAAAAATAAGGCAGGGTGTGAGAAACAAGAATAGAGGAGTAGAGGAGGCATGCTCTTTTGTATGTTGTTAAGAGAACACTTTGCTAATGAAGTGATATGTGAAAAGAAAGTCAAAGGTACAAAAGAAAGCCATATGGTTATCTGGGGGAAGATCATTCTAGGCAGACTCAAAGACTTAGAGGGTGAGGGACATACCTAGGGTGATGATATTCAACAAGGAAGCAATAACAGCTAGAGTAGAACACACTAATACAATAGAAGCAAGAGAGACGGCTGGCGCCGCGGCTCACTAGGCTAATCCTCCGCCTTGCGGCGCCAGCACACGGGGTTCTAGTCCCAGTCGGGGCACGAGATTCTGTCCTGGTTGCCCCTCTTCCAGGCCAGCTCTCTGCTGTGGCCAGGGAGTGCAGTGGAGGGTGGCCCAAGTACTTGGGTCCTGCACCCCATGGGAGACCAGGAGAAGCACCTGGCTCCTGCCATCAGATCAGCGTGGTGCGCCGGCTGCAGCGTGCCAGCCGCGGCAGCCATTGGAGGGTGAACTAACGGCAAAAAGGAAGACCTTTCTCTCTGTCTCTCTCTCTCACTGTCCATTCTGCCTGTCAAAAAAAAAAAAAAAAAAAAAAAAAGAAGAAGAAGAAGAAGCAAGAGAGAAAGAAAAGAAGGAGCCAAATAATGTACAACTTCACAAGGCCTTAAAGGCCTCTAGTTTTTATTCCGAATGAGATGGGCAATCAGCAGAGAATTCTGAAGACAAATGACACTATTTAACTTGCATTTTCAAAATGTCAATCTGAGGTTTTGTGGAAGAGAGACTAAAGGACAGCTAGGGCAGAAAGCTGGGAGGCTGGGACTAGGGTGGTAGGAGAAGAGCTGATTAGACAGGATCAGATTTCAGATATAATCTTAAGGTAGTCAACAAGATTTGTAAATGGATTAGATAAGGAATGTGACAGAAAGTTGCACATTAAGGATGACTCCTGAGGGCTTTAAGTTGATCAACTAGAGGGATGCAGTCAACATTCTGAAATGAGTAAAAGTGCAGGAAGGACAGGGAAATTAAGAATCTGCTTTTGGAAAGTAGAGTTAGACATTCCTAGTACACACTGAAGTGGCAATGTTACTTATGCAACAGGGTATACAATTCCACACTGCGTATGTATGTACACATGCACATGAATGCAGATACAAATATTCATGTGCAAACAAGAAGAAAGGTCTAAAAGGAAAAACAACAAAATAATTACTTGACATCTTTGGGGAACAGGAAAACAGGTGATATTTATTTGTTTATTTTTTTCTCGATATTTTCTTAATTTCCTAATTTTTCAACAACAAAGCTACACTGCTCCTGTAATCAGGAAAAAATGATTTCTGTTTTATTTATTTTTTTTGACAGGCAGAGTGGACAGTGAGAGAGAGAGAGAGAGACAGAAAGGTCTTCCTTTTTCTGTTGGTTCACCCCCTCAAATGGCCTCTGCGGCCGGCGCACCGCGTTGATCTGAAGCCAGGAACCAGGTGCTTCCCCCCCCCGCCCCAGTCTCCCACGCGGGTGCAGGGCCCAAGCACTTGGGCCATCCTCCACTGTACTCCCGGGCCACAGCAGAGAGCTGGACTGGAAGAGGGGCAACCAGGACAGAATCCGGAGCCCCAACCGGGACTAGAACCCAGGGTGCCGGCGCTGCAGATGGAGGATTAGCCTATTGAGCCGCGGCGCCGGCCTCTGTTTTATTTCTAAAGAAAGAATTAGGTGACTGGAAAATGAGAAAATTAGTCTTTTTTTTAAAAAAAAATATTTATTTATTTATTTGGGAGTCAGAGTTACAGAAAGGGAGAGGCAGAGAGAGAGGTCTTCCATCCACTGGTTCACTCCCCAAATGGCCTCAACAGCCACAGCTGGGACAATCCAAAGCCAGGAGCTTCTACCATGTCTCCCACATTGGTGCAGGGGCCCATGTACTTGGGCCATCTTCTGCTACTTTCCCAGGCTCAATAGCAGGGAGCTGGATTGGAAGTGGAACAGTGGAGACATGAACTGGCACCCATATGGGATGCTGGCACTGCAGGCATAGGCTTAACCTACTACTGGCCTGAAGTAACAGTTTTAAGAAGGTTAGGATTGGTCAGCATTGTATGTGAAAGTTTGGAGGTATGAGCAATTGAGAATTTCTCAAGAGAATGTTAGAACCTGAAAAGGAAAGCTGTGATAGCAATTAAAGAAACTTAGGGAAAGGTAATAAAAGAAGCTTCTAAGGAAGATAAAATGTAAGATGGCATAATCTGTATTTGAGAGAGAGTAGGAGGCAAGAGTTTGCTCGGCAGTTGCCATGGCACTTGAGGTGCTCGCATACCCTATCAGATCATCTGGTGTGAATCCCAGCTCTGTTTCCTGATTTCAGCTTCTTGCTAATGCACACCCTATGAAGCAGCAGGGAATGGCTCCAGAACTTGGTTCCCTGCCACCAGGTAATAGACTTGGATTGAGTTCTTGGGTCCTGGCTTTGGAATGGCACAGTCCCAGTTGTTGCAGGCATTTGGGGAGTAAACCACCAGATGAACATCTCTCTCTCTCTGCCATTATTTCAGGCAGTAATAGCAGTATTAGTAAATGAATGAAAAAAAAAATAGATGGAAGTGACACCATTAAACTTATGTTACAGAGCCATCAAAATTCTATGGTGCAGAACTCAGATTTAAAGCTAGGCAACGGGCTGGTGTTGTGGTGAAGTGGGTTAAAGCCCCAGTCTGCAGTACCAGCATCCCATATGGACGCCAGTTCCAGTACTGGCTGCTCCACTTCCAATCCAGCTCTCTGCTATGGCCTGTGAAAGCAGTGGAAGATAGCCTGGGTTCTTGGGCCCCTGCACCCATGTGGAGGACCCGGAGGAAGCTCCTGGCTCTTGGCTTTGGATTGGCGCAGCTCTAGATGTTGTGGCTAACTGGGGAGTGAACCAGTGGATGGAAGACCTCTCCCTCTCTCTCTCTCTCTCTCTGTGTGTGTAACTCTTTCAAACAAACAAATAAATCTTTTTTTTTTTTTTTTAAAAAAGCTAGGCAAAACTGAACAAAGGACCTATGTCTGGTGACTGCTGAAATAATCCCCATAGAAGAAAGGTTCTCAACCAATGTAATTGCAATAGGAATGGGGAAGTTAGGGCAGATGTAAGTATTTCAAGATGCTATAATTTTCTGTAATTGACTAGATTCAGAAGGGTGCTTGAGAGAGGAGCTTTCAATAATTTCAAATAAAAATAGTGGACCATCCGATCAGGAAGACCACGTAAGAGTTTGAAAAAAATAAAGTCAGCTTGAACTGTCAGATTATCTAGCAAAGGATATCACTGGGACATGTGGTTCTGGAGGAAGAAAGTGTTCCTGTTATCATGTTAAGTCTTGGGGTTATGAAACAGACAAACTCAGTTTGAATCCTGACTGTACAACCTACTGCCAAAATGATCTTGAGCAAGTTTTGAGAATTTACTTTTTTTAAAGATTTATTTATTTATTTGAAAGGCAGTTACAGAGAGAGAGGGAGATAGAAAGTGTGGGGGTTGGGGGTGACAGAGGGAGAGAGAGAGAGGAATTTCTTCTATCCACTGGTTCACTCCCCAAATGGCCACAATGGCCAGAGCAGGGCCAGGCCAAACTGGCTACATCTAGGTCTTTCACATGGGTGCAGGGGCCTAAGCACTTGGACCACCTTCTGTTGCTTTCCCAGGTCTACCACCAGGGAGCTGGACCAAGGAGGGCTGTCAGGACATCAAAAGGCTTCCATATGATATGCCAGCATTGCAGGGAGCAGCCCAATCTGCCACACCACAATGGCAGCACCAAATTTTGAAAATTTCAGAGCCCAGAGTGCTATTACACCATGGAACCTCACTCAACTTTTGATAATTTCTACAGGTGGATACTGTGGTGTAGTAGGAAAAGCCGGCACAGCCAGTTTGACTTCCAACTGCTCTACTTCCACTCCAGCTCCCTGCTAATGGGCTGGGAAGGCAGTGGAAGATGGGCCAAGTGCTTGGGCCCTTGCACCTACGTGGGAGACCCCAAGGAAGCTCCTGGCTCCTGGCTTTGGATCATTGCAGCTCCAGCCATTGTGGCCATTTGGGGAGTGAAGCAGCAGATGGAAGACTTCTCTGTCTCTTCCTCTATCTGTAATTCTGCCTCTCAAATAAATAAATAAATCTTAAAAAAAGACAATTTCTAAGCCTCTGTTTTACCACCTATAAATTGGGTATAACAGCTTCAAAAGTTACTGTGAGGATTAAGTGAGATAGTACATATAAAAATTAATGACAACACACGTAACACTCAATAAATCCTAATTGTCTGATTCTGTCCTAATTGATTTTCCCTAGTCCTTCACATTCCTACTCCTATGCCTTTACATTCAACTCTGATTCAGATGCAAATTTTCAATCCATCAAAGACAAAAATTAGAAATTTTCATTGTTTTCTTGCCCTCTGAAATTCTAATATGTGGACATACATAATATACTCAGAAGAATTTAGTAACACTCAATTGAAATCAAAATACAAAAAATATCATAGAAAATAAGCATAATCAATAATAAAGAAACATTATTCTTGGCAGTAACAGTAATACAATAAATGTTAAATGACTGAATAATTCTATCAAGACAAATAAAGGTATAAGCAATAAAGTAAAATATAAGTTTTTAAATTTTGTTTATATCAAAAGTAAATGTTTTGGCAGGCACCGCAGCTTACTAGGCTAATCCTCCACTTGCGGCGCCAGCACCCTGGGGTTCTAATCCCGGTCGGGGTGCCGGATTCTGTCCCGGTTGCTCTTCTTCCAGTCCAGCTCTCTACTGTGGCCCAGGAAGGCAGTGGAGGATGGCCCAGGTGCTTGGGCCCTGCACCCGCATGGGAGACCAGGGGGAAGCACCTGGCTCTTGGCTTCAGATTGGCGCAGCTTGCCGCCACAGTGTGCCGACCACAGTGCGCTGGCCGTAGCGGCCATTTGTGGGGGTGAACCAACGGAAAAGGAAGACCTTTCTCTCTGTCTCTCTATCTATGTGTAACTCTGCCTGTCAAAAAAAAAAAAAAGTAAATGTTTTAAATTATTAAATTCCTGGTTCCTGGTTTGGCCTGGCCCAGCCCTGAGTGCTGAGGTCCTCTGGGGAGTGAACCAGTGGTTTCAAGATCTCTGTGTCTCTGTATCTCTCTACCTTTCGAAAAATTGAAAATAAACTAAAAATGAATGCAATATTTATACATTTTTATGGTGTACAGTGCAATATTTTAGCACATACTGTGTATAAGCCAATTAAACCAGTGAACTAGTCTTTCCATTTCCTTATCTTTTCTTTGTGTTTGGAGCCTACCAACTCCTCTCTTCCAGTTCTTTATACTGCATATGATACACTATTATACAGTTACCACACTGTACTGTGGACCACTTGACAAAAGTAAATTTAATTCATGCTGCAACACATTTCCTCTTTAATTAGTCATATCATCATTCAATATCATTTATTCAGTTAAAGCCTATATATGGAAACAATACTGTAAGAGGATCAAGTCTCATTAAAAACTATCAAATATAAGGACCAAGGAGATATGCTAATACCTCTTTTCGCATTCCAAAGTTGATTTCAGCTTGTTTCTCATGACAGAAGTTGAGTGATTAAGAATCCTAGAATTAAATCAATACATTAATTCTAAAACATATTAAATATTATATATATGATTGTTAAATATCTCCAAGATAAACTATTCAGTCCAGGAAGATCTGTGTTAGAAAACAGTATTTAAATATTATTTAGATCAGATACCCATAAGTACATTGTAATAAAGGAATGTAGTTCCCAGCTCTTCCATACCTTGTTGTTTTTTTTTTTTTTTTTTTTTTTACAGATTTATTTATTTATTTGGAAGTTAGAGTTACACAGAGAAGCAGAGGCAGAAAGAGAGAGCGAAATCGTCCATCTACTAGTTCACTCCCTAATTGGCTGCACCAGCCAGAGCTGCACCGATCAGAAGCCAGGAACCAAGAGCCTCCTTTGGGTCTCCCACGTGGGTGCAGGGGTCCAAGGGCTTGGCCTTGAGCAATCCTCCATTGCCATCTCAGGCCACAGCAGAGAGCTGGATCAAAAGTGGAGCAACCAGGACTCGAACTGGCACCCACATGGGAAGCTGGCACTGCAGGTGGCGGCTTTACCCACTACGCCACAGCGCCGGCCCCCATAGCTTCTTTCGTATGTCTTTTTTTAAGGTTTGGATCCCTTTTAAAAAAAAAAAAACATACATTTATTTATTTATTTATATGAAAATCAGAATTACATAGAGAGAAGAGAGGCAGAGAGAAAGAGAGAGTCTTCCATCCGCTGGTTCACTCCCCAACTGGTCACAACAGCTGAAGCTGAGCCAATCCGAAGCCAGGAGCCTCTCTGGGTCTCCCACACGGGTGCAGGGGCCCAAGGACTTGGGCCATCTTCTACTGCTTTCCCAGACCATAGCAGAGAGCTGGATCAGAAGTGGAGCACCCGGGACTAGAACCGGCATCCATATGGAATGCTTGCACTGCAGGCAGTGGCTTTACCCACTATGCCACAGCACCGGCCACATGGATCCCTTTTAACCATGCAATTATTACCTTAGCATATCTAAGTTTTGGCTGAGACAGAAGACAAAATGAAGGTTGTTTAGGTACCATCATGACTGATTTGGTTTGCCTAATACAGCAAGTGATGTGAAGTACGGTGATGTAATACATAATCATTTTATAAAAGTCAAATAATAAACTTTAATTCTAAAAGCAGAATCAGTGCTAAAGCTTAATTCCTTTAAACACACACACACAAGCACACACACAGTTTTTTGAACTTTCACTGGACAAATTTGAAAAAATTATAAAAATGATAATTACTTGTCCATAATTTTATATAATCCTAAGTATTAATTTCAAAGTCAAAGGTAATTAATTATTAACTTTCTTTAAGATGAGTAATTTCCATGTTTAAGAATTTTTAATACTACTATAAATATAAATATAATCTAATTTTCAATTTTAAAGGTTCCCAGAGCCAGCGTTGTGGCATAGAGGGTAAAGCCACTGCCAGCAATGCCTGCCTCCCATGTGAGTGCCGATTCATGTTCTAACTGCTCCACTTCTGATCCAGCTCATTGCTGATGGCCTGGGAAAAGCAGCAGAGAATGGCCCAAGTGCTTGGGCCCCTGCACCCACGTGGGAGACATAGGTGAAGCTTCTGGCATCAACCTGGCTCAGCCCTGGCCATTGTGGCTACTTGGGGAGTGAACTAGTGGATGGATGATTTCTCTCTCTCTCTGTAACTCTTTCAAATAAATAAATTTTTTAAAATTTAAAGGTTTGTGTTAAAAGGAACAAAATATCTGCCTTTTATTCAAAGTTAAATCTTTAGATAAAAACTATTAAAAGAATACAGAAACAAATTTCAAATTAAAGCTACCTGACTAATAAAATATATAATAAACTAAATATAGTTGGAAATTATAGAAACATGATTAGAACAAAGAAAACAATTTTGATTACTCTGGTTCCTGTAGATTGGATCTAGTAGAACCTCATTAGAATGAAGTCACGATGAAGTACAAAGGGTAAGTATCATATACAAACTGCTGTAGCTTTCAGCCAAAAAATATGGAAATTAATGATACCTTTATTCTTCTTTGTGTGAGCATACATTAAAATTACCAGAAATCCTCAAATTCAAAATTAAGGTAATTAAAATATCTAAGGCTATTTGGAAAAAATGTATTTTAAAAGAGTTATTTTTAAAAAGGAGTCATGGTAGCAAGTACTATCCTGAAGGAAATTATCAGAATTATTGCATTGGAGAGGGAGAGACAAATGATAGCGTTCACTATGGTAAATTTTGATTCTTTCCACCCCATAGTCACTAGCATTGTGATTGCTGGTGTGTATGGTTATACTGGAGCAAAAAGAAAAAAAAGGTGAGAGCCACTTATCTATAAAATGTTTTATATATTTGAGAATTCATTTATGTAAAATTTTACAATATACATTAATATTTCATGTTACACTCTGTGGTGCTCAAAGCCAAAATAAGCATTTATTTTATCTAAATATCTAGTCTGTATTATTAACACATCTCCCTAATTCAGCTACTAGTATTTATTTATTTATTTATTTATTTATTTTGACAGGCAGAGTGGACAGTGAGAGAGAGAGACAGAGAGAAAGGTCTTCCTTTGCCGCAGGCTCACCCTCCAATGGCCGCCACGGCCGGCGCACCACGCTGATCCGATGGCAGGAGCCAGGAGCCAGGTGCTTCTCCTGGTCTCCCATGGGGTGCAGGGCCCAAGCACTTGGATCCTCCACTGAACTCCCAGGGAACAGCAGAGAGCTGGCCTGGAAGAGGGGCAACCGGGACAGAATCCGGCGCCCCGACTGGGACTAGAACCCGGTGTGCCGGCGCCGCAAGGCGGAGGATTAGCCTAGTGAGCCACGGCGCCGGCCTACTAGTATTTATTTTAAGTAAAAGACTATACAATTAAGCTGCATAACCTATCCCTTTAATTTTTTTTAAAGATTTATTTATTTATTTGAAAGTCAGTGTTACAGAGAGAGTGGGAGAGACAGAGAGAGATTTTCCATCTGCTGGTTTCCTCCCCAGATAGCCTCAAAGGCCAGCGCTGGGCCAGGTCCAAGCCAAGAGCCAGGAGCTTCTTCCAAGTCTCCCACATGGGTGGCAGGGCCCCAAGTACTTGGGCCATCTTCAGCTGCTTTTCCCAGGTCATTAGCAAGGAGCTGAATCAGAAGTGGAGCAGCCAGGACACGAACCAGCACCCAGACTGGATACCAAAGTCACAGGCAGTGGCTTTACCAGCTACGTCTTAATGCCCAGCCCCATCCCTTTAATTTTTAAGGCTTCCACAAATGATATACATCATGCTGTCCTGGACATCTATGTTTGTCACTGAATGATGTTCTGTAACACAAAGGCCTCCATTTGTAATTCACATTTCATGTATATCAAACAAACCCAAACATGGGAGAAATAACACATTTTTAGAGATGATAAGGAAGACATTAGGGAAGGAAGTGGAAAAGAAAGGAAGGACAGATTTGAAGAGTTGAAAGAACTACCTAATTATTTACAACATGCTAGAGCTCAGCACGATGCTCTTCAAACTGAAATATTCTTTTGGGCAGATAAAAATCATGTAAAACGAGTAGTGCATACAGTGTCGATAATCCTAAACTGAAATAATAAACTTCTTAAAATTTGATTTTGCTTCCATGATTTTTAATTGACATTTACTTATAAATTTCCAAAATTATGTTTTGTTTTAGCTGTATCACATAGTACTGCAAAGGACATCTTTCCACGATAAAACAAAACTCTCATGGCATAACTAAAAGCAAATAAAACAATTATTAAGAGGAAAGATATAACAGAAAGTATTATAGAGTAAGTTAGCAGGAACCAACATGCTCTGGAAATCAGTCAACTGAAGCAATTTACTGCCAAAGCCCACATACACTGGGGAGTGAACCAGTGGATGGAAGATCTTCCTCTCTGTCTCTGTAACTCCACCTCTCAAATAAATAAATAAATCTTAAAAAAAAAAAAAAAAGAAAAAGCAGCAGCCAGCTAAACATCTGGCTAATCAGCCACATAAGATAATTAGTATAGGAGCCAGTGCTGTTGGGCAGCAATTTAAAGCCCCAGCCTGCAGCGCTGGCATGTGTCCTGGTTGCTCCACTTCCAATCCAGCTCCCTGCTAATGCACATGGGAAAGCAGCAGAACCCAAGTGCTTGGGTCCCTGCACCCACATCAGGGACCTAGAAGAAGCTCCTGGCTCCTGGCTCTGGCGTGACCCAGGTCTGGTCATTGTAGCCATTTGGGGAGTGAACTAGGGGATAGAAGACCTCTCTCTCTCTCTCTCTCTCTCTCTCTCTCTCTGTCTCTACCCCTCTCTGTAACTCTACCTTTCAAATAAATAAAATAAATCTTTTTTTAAAAAAAGTAAAGAAAAGAAAAATCAGTATAAGGCAAATAACAGTAGCCACTTTTTTTCATTTTTAAAAAAACTGTATTTAAGTTATACAAGATTAATGTATTTCATGTACACAGATTTAGGAACATAAAGACACTTACCCCTGTACCCTTCCTCCTGGCCACACTCCAACCCTTCAAATACTGACATGCTTATAACTAGGTTTGACAAAAATTTGGAGAATTAGCTAAATAATTTACAGAATAACATTACTATATTTCTGTTTTTCAACATTTCCTATCTTTTATTGTCAAGTTCGCATTAAAATATTCTCACAGTATCATTTTATTGTTAGCTCGTTCATTGACTTCGTCCAGTTCTATAAAACATGCACTTTGTAAAATTTAAATTCTTTAAGAATATTTAGCATGATATCTGCTCTCTTAACAAAATTTTAGTATACAATATTGTAAACTATAGGCACAAAGCTGCATAGCAGATTTCTACAATTTTTCATCCTGCAAAATTATTAAGATACTGCATTTTAAAATACTATAACTGCCTTTTTATTTAATTGCATCAATTTCAGTGAAGATAAAACTAGAATTCGTGGGGCCAGCACTGTGGCATAGTGTAAAGCCACTGTCTGCAGGGCCAGCATCCCACGTGGGCACCAGTTTGAGTTCCAG